TGTGATCCTGTGGTCCCGGGTTCGATCCCGGGCGCCGGCGAGAAACAATGGGCAGAGTTTCTTTCACCCTATGCCCCTGTTACCTAGCAGTCGAATAGGTACCTGGGTGTTAGTCACTTGTCGCGGGCTGCTTCCTGGGGGTGGAGGCCTGGTCGAGGACCGGGCCGCGGGGACACTAAAAAGCCCCGAAATCATCTCAAGATAACCTTCAGAAGGGGTAGCTTTGTGTTTGCGATGAATACCAAGGGGTAGGACTGGACTTCAGAAGGATAGCAAAGGGTGGGCCAGGGCTTAATAACGGTTATCTTGAGGTTATGTTGAGATGATTTCGGGGCTTTTAGTGCCCCCGCGGCCCGGTCCTCGACCAGGCCTCCACCCCCAGGAAGCAGCCCGTGACAGCTGACTAACACCCAGGTACCTATTTTACTGCTAGGTAACAGGGGCATAGGGTGAAAGAAACTCTGCCCATTGTTTCTCGCCGGCGCCTGGGATTGAACCCAAGACCACAGGATCACAAGTCCAGCGTGCTGTCCGCTCGGCCGACCGGCTCCCTAACGGTGGCAAGGGTTGGGACCGGGCTTGATAAGGCTGGCGTCGAGTTAAGGAGCTAAAACTCGTTAGTGGTTGTCTGATTGAAGGACAAACGGCGCCCTCACGAGCTCATGATTACATTAATTTGTAAAAGGACCAACTAATGCCATAGTCGGTGTGTGTTTTGAACTTGAGGAGCAGTGAATGTTTGGTGCCATGAAGGATGTGTGTGAGTGTGTGGATGTGTTGTTTTGTTTTGGTCCATGTATGTGTGTGATTGAGGATCAAACGTCAACCCAAGGACTCTCGCCTTTCCAGCTGCTACAATATGTGTTCTACATATCCTGACCAGAGGTCAAAAGTACACAAATATATAGTGTAAGAACAGGTCAAGGGTCCAGTGCATTGTTTGTTCACTTAACAGATTGTAATCATTCAACTGACTGGACTAATTCATGCAACATTGTGGAGTGTAAAACAGTGAAAGAAATAGTATTGAATCATCATTTATAAAAAGTAGTGAATTACATGCTATTAATGTAAGTCTACGATTATATATAAATTATAAAACTTTATAAGTGGCATGAATTGTGATTGGAATAAAATTATATAGATAATAATTGTAATTGTATTACATTCAAAATATTATAGAATATCCCGTCCGCATTATATCATGTAATTTTCATTGTTCGGTAAGTTGTTTTAGATCTTTATTTCCTGAGGTGTAGATGAGGATATAATCCCAAACCCATTTCTCCTCTGTCTGTATTCCTGGTTAATGTGTTCGAACACGAAAACATTCGGAATTTTCGTTTAATTTTATTCCCTACGTTGATACGGACAGCACACTGGACTTGCGATCCTGTGGTCCCGGGTTCGATCCCGGGCGTCGGCGAGAAACAATGGACAAAGTTTCTTTCACCCTATGCCCCTGTTACCTAGCAGTAGAATAGGTACCTGGGTGTTAGTCAGCTGTCACGGGATGGTTCACTTCCTGGAACGGCTTCTACTGAATATATTCTCTTCCTCGTCCTATCTAGACAACACGTAAAGAGACAGGACAATACGTTCTGTCTAGACAATACGTTCTTGATACATATATCAACAATCCGTGCAGTATCAGTTGACTTTAAAGAACTGCAAAAATTGTCATCCACACTTCAGTGGAAGTAAACATTCCATTCACCTGGGTTCTAGGAGACTCGAACCGCGGACTCCACGTGTGTGAGGCCGAACACGCCTGGACTCCAGTCTCCTAGTGCCCAGGTGAATGGAACTGTAAACATGTTTGGAGATACTGAGTACTACAGTAACACAGCCTTCTGTAACCCCATGCCTGTGTAGTACCTGGTACTGCAGGGCTACCTGGTACAAGTACACCCCACCTGCAGTACACCCACCACCAGGTGTGACCCCACCTGCAGTACACCCACCACCAGGTGTGACCCCACCTGCAGTACACCCACCACCAGGTGTGACCCCACCTGTAGTACACCCACCACCAGGTGTGACCCCACCTGCAGTACACCCACCACCAGGTGTGACCCCACCTGCAGTACACCCACCACCAGGTGTGACCCCACCTGTAGTACACCCACCACCAGGTGTGACCCCACCTGTAGTACACCCACCTCCAGGTGTGACCCCACCTGTAGTACACCCATCTCCAGGTGTGACCCCACCTGTAGTACACCCACCACCAGGTGTGACCCCACCTGCAGTACACCCACCACCAGGTGTGACCCCACCTGTAGTACACCCACCTCCAGGTGTGACCCCACCTGTAGTACACCCACCACCAGGTGTGACCCCACCTGTAGTACACCCACCACCAGGTGTGACCCCACCTGCAGTACACCCACCACCAGGTGTGACCCCACCTGCAGTACACCCACCTCCAGGTGTGACCCCACCTGCAGAACACCCACCTCCAGGTGTGACCCCACCTGCAGTACACCCACCTCCAGGTGTGACCCCACCTGTAGTACACCCACCTCCAGGTGTGACCCCACCTGCAGTACACCCACCACCAGGTGTGACCCCACCTGCAGTACACCCACCACCAGGTGTGACCCCACCTGCAGTACACCCACCACCAGGTGTGACCCCACCTGCAGTACACCCACCACCAGGTGTGATCCCACCTGCAGTACACCCACCACCAGGTGTGACCCCACCTGTAGTACACCCACCACCAGGTGTGACCCCACCTGCAGTACACCCACCACCAGGTGTGACCCCACCTGTAGTACACCCACCACCAGGTGTGACCCCACCTGTAGTACACCCACCACCAGGTGTGACCCCACCTGTAGTACACCCACCACCAGGTGTGACCCCACCTGTAGTACACCCACCTCCAGGTGTGATCCCACCTGCAGTACACCCACCACCAGGTGTGAGGTCAGGCTAACACACTGCTCCTCCCCTCTCCACATGCTTGCAAGATTTGGGTCAATACTTCAAAAGAAGAAGAAAGAAATTGCATATATTGTGGACGACCAGATGAATATTCTCTTCATCATTATTTACTTAACTGCAATAAGTTTGTGTAGCCAAGAAATAACTTTCAAAATAACACTATAAGAGGGAGAATGGAAGCAATTCTAAATTTATTATTATTATGGCTATTCCCCCCTGTCGAGACACGCGATAGCCATAACCATAAATTTATAGTAGTGTTATCATTTATAGTTTCTATATATGCACAAAGAAATCGCATTAACGTGATGTATCAATGAGAAAATCTGTTGGAGCTGTAATGAGAATGTTTCCTTTGTACCCCATATTACTCAGTGTAACATTTGTACCCCCATTGTACTCACCACTGTAACCCCATGTCGTGGGGTTACAGTGGGGAGTTTCACTGTTTCACAGTTTCACAGTGGGGAGTTTCACTGTTTCCCCATGTACCCCCATTGTACTCCCCACTGTAACCCCATGTACCCTCCTCTTCCCCCCACTGTTTCCCCATGTACCCCCATTGAACCCCCTCCACTTCCATTGTACCCCTTATGTACATCCATACACCCTCTTGTACCCCCACTGTACCCCTCTTGTACCCACACTGTAACTCATACACTCACTATCACACAGACCATCCTCCCTCCCGTCTCATTTACTTCTTGGCAGCGGTGCTCTTCCTCTGTTCTTCTAGTTCCTATATTCTCCATCCTCTCCCATCCCTTCCTCACGCCATCCTGTCCATCTCTCTATTTCCTGTCATCTTATCTTATCCCACCCCTCTTCTTATCTCCACCATCTTCCTTTCATTACCCACTTAACTCTCCATCTCCACTTCATCTCCGCCACCTCCCTCACAACACCTCTCCCAGCATTTCTCCTCAACTCACTCTTACCAACTTTACTCTTGCCTTGCCTTCCTAAGCATCCATCATGTTCTCTCTTCCTCTCCGTTCCTTTTCCCCTCCTCTTCCTTATTCTTCCCTCGCTTCGTCTCCACTCACAATCGTCCCTTGAGAGTGGAAGCTTCCCCACCCCTCTTCAGGCCCAAGGACAACACCTGACGACCTTCAGTATATAATAGTATGGGCTCGTGTCTCAGTGTACACTGACAACTGTACATCTTACGCGGTTAACAAATGTACATTCACAACACTTTTGTAATATTATTGATGGATATTTAATGTATATATGTTGAGTTTTCATTGTACATATGTGAACTTCAACCGGATATAAGGTGGACGCGTGTTCGAAGCAAATCACAAGTATGTTCAACATCTAGTGAACGTCTCTTGACGTCAGATGAATTTTTCGACGTGTGTTGAGCATCTAGTAACGTACTACGAATGTTTGGCATGTGTGAATCCCCTTTCCCCCCCCACACACACAAAACCACGAATCACCTTTGGCATGAGACGTTAATATAACAGAATCTTCGTTTGTGGTGGAAATTTAACGCTGATTGAACGAACGATGAAGACTACCAACGTTGGCTTGTGTTTCGTCCATGACGAATGGTTTGTTTTGGTCTGGGGAAGGAGGGAGAGGTAGCTTGGAGGAAGAGGGGGGGGGGTTGCTGCTTAATGTCAGACTCTTATCATTAAACCATCATCCACACACACACACACACACACACACACACACACACACACACACACACACACACACATACATACACACACACACACACACACACACACACACACACACACACACACACACACACACATATACACACACACACACACACACACACACACACACACACACACATACACATACACACACACATACACACATACACACATACACACATACACACACACACACACACACACACACACACACACACACACACACACACACACACACACACACACACACACACACACACACACACACACACACACACACACACACACACACACACACACACACACACACACATACACACTTCTGACAGTTGAGAGGCAGGACCAGAGAGCCAGAGCTCACAGGCACTCCCACCTCCTCCCACACACCACAAGCCAGCAGACAAGCACTCCCACCTCCTCCCACACAACAAACACACCGTCCTACCTCCACTTGGGGGCGGTACGAGTCTCAAGGAATTTCCTTCGGCCTTCAAGACATTATCTGTTTTTTGTGAGTTAGTTAACGCCGTTCCAGGCGAGCCTGCGTGGCTCCAGCCCCGTCACGGACCAACTCACCATCCCAGCTCTGCCTAAGCAACTTTCCCACCTTCATTATAGCGAGCAGGATAACGTATCTAATTACTCTTAGAGTCTCCGAGGAGCTCCAACGCCATCTTGCTCAGTACCATCGTGCCGCAGAATTTAACTGAAGGTGTTACGTAAGTTTCACTGGAGAAAAATAAAAAAAATTGTACAAATCCGGATTGCAGAATATTTCTCCTCACATTGGGTTGGTATTCCTCTGGTATACCAAGCGTTCAAGGCCCTTATGAAGGACAGCAATTTTCCCACAAGAGACCAACAGCAGGTTTGTCACAGCTGGGTGCACATATATAGGGAAGCAACACTGCAACAAATGTAGAAGATCCTCGTGCTCTCGCTCCTCTACACCGACCATTATCTAACCAACAGAATGCAGTTCGTAAGTACTGGAGGTACTATAACTCTTATTATAATGTGTTTACCTTTGTACTGGTTGTTAAGTGAGCGCGTTTAACTTTGTTTCTTCACATACAAGCTTCGCATCTCGCGCTTTCCACATTGAAATGTTCCACCTGTATCAGTGAGCCTCTTTAATGATAACAAGAGGTGTGTTTGCAGTTGCTTGGAGGCTAAACATCTTTTTTGGTAGCTAAAAATCGTATTTGCAGGTTTAACATCACTTAGGCCCCGTGGAACACTTGTGTGGGCTGTGTGTAACATTTGTGAATGTTGACTTGACACACAGAACATTGCTGACTTTACACACAGAACACTGCTGAATTGACACACAGAACACTGCTGACTTGAGACACTGAACATTGCTGACTTGACACACAGGACACTGCTGACTAGACAGTAAACTGTCAACGAAACAACACTGTCAACGAATTAGAACACTGTCCACAAGACAGAACACTGTCAATGAGACAGAACACTGTTGACTATAGGCAGAACGTGGAAACTTGAAAATACACACAAGAATGTCAGCGTAAACGAGGCGGAAAGTTTGGGTGTCTCGCCTCCACACTGTTGAGAAAAGTTTAGCAGTCTGGACAAGAAAGTTAGTGGCGTTGCTGAAGAGCAGTTGGCCCAGAGGGAGATTTTCCAACTAGTGCAGGTTTTAGGGCAAGTCCTGTGAGAAGCCCTGAGGCAAGATTTGAGCTAGGACCTGTCCAGTGGTTCCAGACCCTTAAGCCCAAGTCCTAAGCTTTGAGGGCCCCCAGAACCAGCTCTGGGGCATTCGGTGATGTAGTGTGGGAGATCATGCCCCCAGTTCCTGCGCACAGAGTTTGCACCTGGAGTACTCAGGATTGGGAGATCCGTCACCTGTTGCCACCTACCACAGGTAACGGTAACCCAATCTGATCCTGGCAACCACTGTGTTACACAGTCTAGTGGACGTTTTGTGCTGCCCATATATATACGTTTCAGATATCAACACATCATAGATTTTTATAACGGTGCTTTCAGGTCGTTGGGAGTCAGTAATGTCACTCCTATCAGACCTGAGTGTTTGAAGCAATATAGTTTTGACAGTAGAGATGGGGATACCTAGATCTAATTCAGCTTCATCTTTGTTACACGCTAATGTGGCTGCAAGGTTTGTCTCATTATGATTGGTCATATTTATGTGCGATGGTATCCATACAAAGGAGATTCGAAACCCTTTACTCTGTGCAGCGATAAGGTCATTTATAATTGGTAGAATGAGGTTCCTGCTGTCGATCTTCCAGGAGAAGTTTTCAGTTGTTTAAAGAGCAAACTTATTGAGTAAAATCTGTAATTCATATAATAAGGTCTATAGGCTCATCGATGAATATGTTATCTATGACTATACATCTATTTATGTACCCATATATCTATCCGTCTATCCACCCCTCTATACATCTATCTACCCATCCATCTATTCATCCAAACATCTATCTTCTCCCCCCTTTCCCTTAACCTTCGCCTCTCCCCCGCTTTCCCCACTCAACTCCGGTCGGCCGAGCGGACAGCACGCTGGACTTGTGATCCTGTGGTCCCGGGTTCGATCCCAGGCGCCGGCGAGAAACAATGGGCAGAGTTTCTTTCACCCTATGCCCCTGTTACCTAGCAGTAAAATAGGTACCTGGGAGTTAGTCAGCTGTCACGGGCTGCTTCCTGGGGGTGGAGGACCGGGCCGCGGGGACACTAAAAAGCCCCGAAATCATCTCAAGATAACCTCCTCCCTTTCCCTGCATCTCTCCTCTCCCATTTCGCAGAAAATGTATGGGCTTGTTTTCGCCCCTTTCCTCACCACCTTCGTCAAACTCCCTTCATCTTTCCCCTTCCCCTTCCCTCTTTTTACCCCCCCCCCCCCCCTCCCTTTCACACCCTCTCTCCCTCCTCCCCCCGCTCTTATCTCTCTCAACATCAAGCACAATCGTTATCATTGCATTATAATATTAAGTGTCAGTCACAGAGAATATAATAGTTCCCCCTTTAGACTTTGGACTTCAATGGGAGAGGAGGAAGTTCCGAAGATAATTTATGTGTTATATGAGATTATGTCCTTTGTTTAAATAGTAAGAAATTTATGTTCATTTTCCCAATATCAGTGAATAATGGTGCATAGTTCTATTGCAAAAAAATATTTTGTAATAAATCTGATTTGAAGTATATTTTCAGACTATATTCATAGGTACAGTGGCGGGCAGTGCCAAAAATCGTCGTGGAGGTCTAAGTGTAGCCCAGGCACGATGTTCTTCTTTGAGTTCTGGAGACCCTGTTCAGCCTACGTTTATCCCAGACCCAAGACCATTGTCTCTATCAGTTTGGGTGAGACTAGCCCCAAGCGTCTGGCCCTGAACAGACTGAACAGCTTTGAACTGAGAGACACAGACATTCTCTCATATGCAGGCAATGAGTCAAAATAACGCGGCTGAAGTATGTTGACCAGACCACACACTAGAAAGTGAAGGAACGACGACGTTTCAGTCCGTTCTGGACCATTCTCAAGTCGATTGTGAATGGTCCAGTACGGACCGAAACGTCGTAGTCCCTTAACTTTCTAATGTGTGGTCCGGTCATCAGCATTCTCTCATAGATATAGATATATTGACAGGGGTAAACAAAACCCATCTCCAATCGTCGGGCAATAACGAAATTGCAGTATAAACTATGGACAGCAATTTTTTTTCAACTTCCTTCTAAAGTGAAGAAAAACACAATTTTTTGTTTGAAAATTCGCGGCAGAATCATTGCTGTCACCCTTTCTGACATATTCAATAACATGTCATCAAGAAAGACTGCTGCGAAAATAGACTAATATTGGAACAATTGACCCAGCAGCAAGAAACCAAGCTCTCACGATAGAATATCGGCAAGGTCTGATAAGACATCACGTCCACAAAGCAGCCAATGAAATCAGAGCTTACAGAACTCAGCTGCCACGTGATAACGATGATCTCCGAACTAGGCCTGACTGGTGCCTCCGCGAACTAGCAGCCCGACATCGTCGCAACACCAAGACAATAATCACCAAAAAACTGACGTCTTTGTTTGGGGGGGAAGGGGGGTGTCAGTGCGCTTTCCAAACCCAGAGTTGACTTCCGAAATCTCACCGGAATCAATTCTGACTGTTTTCCAAATTTCTCTCTTAAATCTAGGAATAAACTGTCACGTAATGTCCAGACCGAGTGAGATGGCCCGGAAGGTGGAGCTGGAGATCCTGCTGGACGACATCTTCCATCTTGGGACACAAAGAAAGGTCACCACCAAGGAACCTGTGCAAGCAGAGCTTCTTGCGGAAGGAGGAAAGACTCGTCGTAACTTCAGAAGCATCATACTCTGTCCGGAGCTCAAAGCGGCAGCTAAGGAGCTTCGTGAGAATAAGGAAATGGTTAAAAGAAGGGGGGAGTGAAATCTCCTATATACGTCATCCTCAAAAACAAAATGAATATATAAATCTCATCCTCTCAGATCTAAGTAGACTCCGAAGGATCATTAGGGATACTAATGAAGTTCCTGTAAAATAGTCTAATACTAACACTAACTAAACACATGTAACCCCTATTATACTATTTTACAGGAACTTCTTTTCGACGACTCATAAAACGGAGGAAAGAGTCCTGAAAGATATTGTTGATAGGAACGTTATCCCTACAGACAAATATCAGAAAATACATTGACGATTTACTATAAAACCAAAAAAACGGCCAACCTACTCGTGAAAAACTCTCCAGACACAAAGCAGAACGCCTTGAAGGAAACCAACGTCGTCTATGCCTTCAAATGCCCACTTGGGGACTGTAAGCCCCAAAGAACTCAGTATATAGGCAAGACAACAACGTCTCTTTCCAGGCAATGCATAAACAACAGGGCTCCATCAAGGAACATATAATCTCTTCTCACAACCAGACCACCACCAGAGAAATCTTAACAAACAACACAGAAATCCTTCGATAGATACAGCGATAGCAGGAGGCTCGACGTCTGCGAGGCACTACACATCAAAAAGTCAACACCAGCAATCAACAGCCAATTAATGCATAACTATATTCTACCCACTTCAAGACTCCGAATCAATATAGAAGCATCAAGAGGAAGCATCATGGGCCAATAGGCCTTCTGCAGTTACTTCAATTCTTATGTTTTTATACCCATTGGTTCATGTTCTATCATGTGCAAATGTCAATCACCTCACCCAAAACTTTTGTACCATATCACCTCACCCAAATGCGAGTATATGTATGGATGTATTTTGCGTTTTTACAGGTTACAGTTGTGTGTGTAAATTAAAGTCTTTGAAAATGTAATAAGTTATTACGAAACGAGTTCAGGCGTCAGACTAGAAATAAAAATGAATTTTGTAGAATTGATTTTTCAATTACCATCGACAGTGAAAAGAAACATAAGAAATATAAAGAAAATTCGCGTTAGAATTATTAATCTTACCTTTTCGGTCATATTCAACATTGTATTATCACCTGACCTAATGCGGGTATAAAATCAACTAGTATTGTAAGATCTGTTCACTTGAGAATGAACCATGGAGGTTCGAAACGTCGTGCAAATTATACAAATAAGTGTAATACACTCTATAGTAAATCACTTCTTTTCTTCACCTTAAAAGTACGAAAATGAGTTTTGGAGAACTCCTCTCACACACACTGTATATATATATATATATATATATATATATATATATATATATATATTTATATATATATATATATATATATATATATATATATATATATATATATCATATATATATATATATATATATAATATAATATAATATTATTCTCCTTTCACCTGGGCAGTGCTATGTCCACACACATGGCACATTTGTCTCTCCCAATTGATGCACTAAACAAAAGCACACAAAACACACAGGTGCTTCTGTTGCCCCCCCAAAAAAATGAATACCTGTACAAAAACATGTCTTTTCATGAGCAGACGTGCCCATGTGTCCTCTTGACATGAGCAGGCGTGCCCATGTGTCCTCATGACATGACCAGGCGTGCCCATGTGTCCTCATGACTCTCGCCACTGGCTTTACACTTACGAGTTCCTCTCTCCCCCTCAGGCGTGTCTGATGCTAGTCCTCCTGCTGGCGGTGTCGGCGGTGTTGGCCTCGGCCAGCGCTGACCCAGTCGCCGCCCCGGCGCCCATTAAGTTCAAGAAGGGTTTCAAGTTCGGGGGCGGTTTCAGACGTCGCCCCGCCATTCGTTTCGTGCCTGTGTACAGGAAACGCTTTGGGTGGGGCAAGTGATGTACTAAGTTCACAGAACATGCGCACTGAGTCCCACTGGAGGCGCTGTTAAACTTCAATGTGGATTGTCACAGATCCTGTGGATATTGTCCTGAAGTTCTCGTTCTCTTAATTTGACTATATTCAACTGTATCATCGTTGTGATGACCTTCTATCCAGCTGGCTGTGACCAGCACCTAGGAGGTAGAGGGCCGCTTTCTGCGTGAGCTGGTCGACTGACCATTCTCACTGTATTAACTCAAGTAAAATAAAATAAATTCTTGGTTCGGAAGTTTTTTCTGATGTAATAGATTTTCCTGCTAATCTAAAGGGCCTTTCAAAATGTCGAGGAACGAGCGCTCTAAGCCATTGAAGGTAAACGAACGGCAAACACACTCACTCTCTCTTTCTCTCATTCACACACACACACACACAATGGAGGCCTCGTAGTCTGGTGGATAGCGCGCAGGTCTCATAATTCTGTGGCGCGGGTTCGATTCCCTCACGAGGCAGAAACAAATGGGCAAAGTTTCTTTCACCCTGAATGCCCCTGTTACATAGCAGTAAATAGATACCTGGGAGTTAGTCAGCTGTCACGGGCTGCTTCCTGGTGTGTGTGTGTGTGTGTGGTGTGGAAAAAAAGTAGTTAATAAACAGTTGATTGTTGGTTGAGAGGCCAGAGGAGCCAGAGCCAGAGCTCAACCTCCACAAGCACAACTAGGTGAGTACACACTTGGGCTGGGCGGACAGCACCCTGAGGTCGTAGTCCTAAGGGCCTGGGTTCGATCCCCAGCAGAGGCAGAATAAAATGGGTAGTTTCTTTCACCCTGGTTCACCTCTTCACCTAGCAGTAAATAAGTGCTTGGGAGTTAGACAGCTGCTACGGGCTGCTTCCTGGAGACGTGTGTGCGTGTGTAAGAGAAAGATATGTAGTAGACATAATTGAGGAAAAATAAATTGGTTAGAAAGGCGGGGTCCAGCAGCTCATAGATCGTTTCTGCAGATATAAATAATAAATACACGCACACACACACACGCACATATCGAGGAGCTCCATGTAAACAAGCACATAATGGAATGAAAAAGTACAGAGGTTTGCAACGAAACTCGTCCCAGAGTAGAGAGATATGAGGTTTTAAGAAACACTGAAAGAACTGGACCAAATGCCGGTAAAGGAGAGAGAGAGAGAGAGAGAGAGAGAGAGAGAGAGAGAGAGAGAGAGAGAGAGAGAGAGAGAGAGAGAGAGAGAGAATGGGACATAATAGCGACATAAAATACATAAGGGGCTTCATAATAAAAAAAGTAATATGTTCATAATGAATCCCAAGAGGAGGAGAAGGCAGGGGTGGAAGCTTGAGAAACAGATTAGTTATAGAAATGTTTTAAAGTTTTCTTTTAGGGTAAGACTAATTAGAAAACGGAGTAAACTAAATTAGCTGTGTGTAGGAGCGAACTTTATTCATGATTTTAAACGTAAACATGTTAACAAAATTAGTCAGCGATCATTGCAATCATTGGTTGCAAATGGACAGGTTCAAGACATGAAGCTCGATCCAATAGGCACAAGTAGGTTAGTGCAAATAAGTTACCATACCCCCCGACACATATATACACCCGCGCGCGCGCACACACACATACAAATATGTAAATAACGTTTGATAGTGTACAAGATAAAAAAAATACTTTAACAGACAAAATCCAATACTTTTTCTTTGTTGACGGGGGTAATGTGGGCTCGATCCCAGCGGACCCAGCAAGTCAGCGCGACACATGTTGATACAAACAGTTATCTCACAGTGGACTTGTGGAATCTTCACACATGAATATTCCATCTAGTTATTGAAGTTAGGCCTTGAATAATTGCTTTGAAACACGTTGAATTAAACAGTGTAGCGAGGTTAGGAGAAGACCCCTCGACGTAGTCTGCGCTCTCATACGTCTCCTATATATGACGTAGACGTTAATTGCGTCGCAAAATGATTGTTTCTTTTTCACATCGCTGCGCGTCTCTAATTATCGGAAGCGCCATCAAAGCCCCCGTATTGGAAAAAGCCAAGCTATTGAACTATTGCCGTGGAAAAGGCCGTTATATTTGCCTGCTGGCAGCTCGCACTATTGAAAAAAGTTAAAGATGGGATGACTATTGGTGCTCGCGGACCCTCTGGAGAAGGTCTACTTCACTATCGGCAGCCAGGGAACCGTTCTCCACACTACTGGTGCTTGGGGGAGAATGGAGGTCAGCCTTGAGTGAATCCATACACACCAAGACGAGCCTTGAGGTAATCCACACACCGACCACCCCACCAGCGGGTGAGGTTACCTTACCTTGAGGTTACCTTGAGGTGCTTTAAGGGGGGCTTGGCGTCCCCGTGGTCCCAGTCGTCGACCAGGTCCTCCTCGTTGCTGGACTGGTCAACCAGGACCACGTGACCACTTGAGGAAGGGGTGGTCGCTAGGCCTCGCTGGCAGCACCAACGTCCAAGTAATCACTGTCACGGTCAACACCATTTCTTTCCAGTCTTCATTGTTCATGTTCACATTCCTCCCACACTCTTTGCATCTTCAACCCATTCTCCGTGAGAGCGTTTTTACACTCGACTTCTCTCTCGCTCCCGTTCTAAAGAGTTTCCCACTTCAATGGCAGCTCTATGCATGATATCACACACCCTCGACCAAGCGAAGCCGATTCAAACACTACTCGTTAACTAGCTCTCTCGTTACACTTTCGCTAAACTTTCCCAGCTCTAATTAATTACCTCTCAATCGTGAGTCTTCTCTTGTTAACTTAAGTAACAAGAGCTCTTATCACTGAGTAGAGAGTCACTTGTGCACACCAGCCTCGCCTCCTGCTGGTATTGGGCACGCCCCCGTACAGGACGTGCACAATACGTCCTGTACGAGGTACAGGACCCGTTATTACTGAACACTCTAAAGGCTCTAGGAGACTTACGGAACGGATAGCAGATTCAGGAGCCTTATAGTACAAATTCCAAAAGCCTCTTACAGTACAAAAAGAAAATTTCAGCAGCCTTACAATACTGGCTGAAGATTCCAGGAACTTCATAGAACATACGGATAACTACAGGACCCTTACAGAACATAGAGAACACTTCAGGGCTTTATAACACAAGCAGGTCACTCAAGAACTCTTACAGTACAGAAAGAACATTCCAGGAGCCTGATAGTGCAGTCAGAAGACTCCATGGAGTCTAACAGTGCAGACAGAAGACTCCATGGAGTCTTACAGTACAGACAGAGAGCTCTAGGAGACTGACAGTACAGACAGAGGTCTCCAGGAGCCAGACAGTATAGACAGTGGACTCGCATCTCTCTTCTTCAAATTGAATTTGTTCGTTCATGTTGGTTGTCCATAAATTGTGTTTGTCCATCACACTTTATTTGTTTCTTTGCTTATATTTTATTTTGTTTACCTTCGCTTTATTTTTATTTACTTGAATTTAACCTACATTTTTTTTGGTTACTTTATTAGATGAAAAAAGTTCTGAATGAGGTAGTGAGTGACGGGGAGAGAGCGTAAGTAAATGAGTGTAAGGGAATGAGGAACAGAGAGAATGAATGAGGAATTGGGTAGTGATTGAAATAATAGATTGAGTGAGTTTGTGAGCTGTTGAGTTAATGAGCCAGTGATTAAGTGCAGTCTCAATGCACAGTTGGCTTCGTTTTCGACTCACACTCTGGGATCCGATTCCCGGGCGAGACAAAAATGGCTGTTCACTTTTATTTGCACCTTGTGCATCTGTTCATCTTGCAGTAAATAGGTACCTTGGAGTTACACAACTGGGGGGGGGGGACTGTATCTTGGGGAGGGTCAGTTATTTAATGTGGAGGGGAACGTCGATATATACCTTAGGTATATATAAGATAGAACACACCTTTTTCGGTTGATTCTGTTGCACTGCTGTAAAATGTAGGCCTCTTCGTCTTCAGCCGGTATTTACAAAGACGTGAGTCGATTTTTGACTTCCTCAGGCACTGTTATCTTTGTTGAATAGGTAAAAATGTAGCACCCAGCCCACTGCACACACACACACACACATATATATATATATATATATATATATATATATATATATATATATATATATATATATATATATATATATATATATATATATATATATATATATATATATATATATATATTATATATATTATATATATATATATATATATATAAGATATAGGTTATATATATATATATATATATATATATATATATAGGCTGAGAAGTGAGTTCTGGCTATAGGTACGATATATATATATATATATATATATATATATATATATATATATATATATATATATATATATATATATATATATACCCGTTTCTTTCTCGCTTCTCGTTTTATACACGTTTCCCCGACAAAACTAGTTAAACGAAGAATGCAAATAGCTTTGACTGGTATTCACACTGTGAATGTGAAACCCAGTGAATGAATGACAGAAGGAGAAATAGCGTGAGTGGGGATGAATGCAGGATTGATAAATTCAGTGAATGAACAATGCAATGAGTGAACAGTCCAATGAGTGAACAAGCCAGTGCGTCCCCCAACAGACTCCTACATGTAAACAACGCACTTATGAAGGCAAAATCCATTCCATTATCTAACCTTTGACCTCCATCAAAGTGAGCATTATTGCATAAAAGACCCCATAAACGTTGCACTCTCATCCATAATCCTTGATTTATCTTTGATCTGCGTGAAACCCTAACATTTTGATATAAGCCTCTGATCGGTCTCACTCTGTGTCACTGGGACACTCTGTGTCACGTGGACACCACCACATGGGATACTGGGGCATGTGACACCACCACGTGTAACATTCGGGCGTGTGACACCACCACATGCGACACTGGGGCATGTGACACCACCACGTGTAACATTCGGGCGTGTGACACCTCCACATGCGACACTGGGACGTGTGACACCACCACATGCGACACTGGGACGTGTGACACCACCACATGCGACACTGGGACGTGTGACACCACCAAGTGTGACACTGGGGCGTGTGACACCACCACATGTGACACTGGGGCGTGTGACACCACCACATGCGACACTGGGACGTGTGACACCACCAAGTGTGACACTGGGGCGTGTGACACCACCACATGTGACACTGGGGCGTGTGACACCACCACATGTGCCACTGGAACGTGTGACACCACCACATGTGACACTGGGGCGTGTGACACCACCACATGGGATACTGGGGCGTGTGACACCACCACGTGTGACACTGGGGCGTGTGACACCACCACGTGTAACATTCGGGTGTGTGACACCACCACATGCGACACTGGGGTGTGTGACACCACCACGTGTGACACCACCAAGTGTGACACTGGGGCGTGTGACACCACCACATGTGACACTGGGGCGTGTGACACCACCACATGTGCCACTGGAACGTGTGACACCACCACATGTGACACTGGGGCGTGTGACACCACCACATGTGACACTGGGGCGTGTGACACCACCACATGTGACACTGGGACGTGTGACACCACCACATGTGACACTGGGGCGTGTGACACCACCACATGTGACACTGGGACGTGTGACTATTCGTTTAGTTGTGTATGTGTATTCGTTCAATTGCTGTGACTAAGCACAGCAATTGAGAATATAAAAACTGGAAGTGCAATTGCAAAATTTCATTAAAAAGATTCAACACAACAAGTGGCAATGCAAGAAATATGTATGTAGCACATAAACTGGACACAGGAATGTATATAACTATGGTAAAAAAAAATTATAATATGCAATGTTGAAGGAATAAATTTCAATTTTAGGCCTGGAGGAATTAAAAAAAAATTATATTGCACAAATCCTTAAATGTTACTAAAACAAGGATTTCTTACTTCACTGGAATTTGAATTTACCAATAACACTCTAGGAGAACAATTAAAATTCAATGAAATTACTGTAAGAAGCAGGATTGTTGAAATCACACAAGAAAACTGTGGGGAGTGGAGTGCTGAACCAGCTCCAATATTGAACAAGTCACTGAATGGTTAATTCACAGGATATTATGGGAATTATGACATAAGTCACTTTTTAGCACTTGGCACGTTGTTCTCAACTAGCAATTACTTATCTCAGGGTTGTAATTTATGAGGATCACCAGTAGCCAAAGTAGGAGAAGCGTCGTGAAGATCTGAAGAGGCCCATGTGAGGCGTGTTTACAAACTGGATGCGATGGCAGCGCTCCTGGCGGCGGTGGCGCGAGACTCAGGGACCCCACACTGTTCACGCTAGAAGCACGAAGATAAATTCTGACGACGACAATATTGCGACGATGGAATAACCAGTTGATACTTGCGACGATGGCTGACGACGATTGCAGTAGCTTGCACCCTCACGAAGCTTGATACTGTCAGCTTGGGCGGCGGTGGTGGTGGTGGTGTAGGTTCCCACGTGGTGGCGCGAGATTCAAAAATGGCTGGCGCGGGAAGCTTCCTTCCTCCTCACTGATGAGTGCGCGTTCTCACAGGAAAATATTGACCCTTACTTCTGAAACGTTGTCCTGGAGTAGTGGTTGATGGCAGGACCCCGGTCTGGCACAATATTTGATGCGTGGGTGGCAGGATGGCGGCTTATGGCGGTGGCGGTGGCGGCTGGAACACGAGGCGATGCTGGGTACTTGAACTTTTCTTTCCAGAAAAAAAATTTCTGGATCCCACTGCTGCTACCAGTATTCGTTTGTCTTGTTCGGGTAGAATGTAGACTCAGTAGTCGCTTCTGTATATATTTATTGACTGAGATAGCAAGGTAAATATCTGCCTAGCCGAGGTCCTTCTACTCTGAGTCTGTGTGGATAACTGAGGCTGCTGGGAGCATGGCTTGATGCTCCTCTGTCTGGCATGACGTCAGAGGCCTACTTGCCTGTGATTGGTTACATTTCAACTGACAGAATTTGAGTATAACATGACACCACCATACGTGACACTGGGGCGTGTGGACACCACCACATGTAACAGCTATGTGACCATACCATCAGTGTTGAAGGGGTAAGTGGTCTGGCTTGGCGCTAGTCAATCCTCTACCCAAATGTTTCCGATGCGTACAAAGTAGACGCTGACAGTTGCTCACTAAAGTGTTACATTAAGTGCACCAACGAACAACTTATCAATTTTCAAGTTATCATGTTAGTTTAAGTACTGTGGGAATCACATTCTAGAGTAGACAGGTCTTCAAATAAATAATGAAACTCGAAAAAGTTGCATTTTATTATTAAATTATTTTAGTGTATAAATTATGAACAGGTAAAAAGGAGTTATGAAAGAGAGTAACTTCAATAATCTGTTATAAAAACTTTGATAATATTAACTTTGCATGTTTCTTAGACACTTAGCATAGAAACTTAACAAGATATATATATATTATATAATTGTTCGTGATTATATATATTTGCTAATGCTCATATAATTCAGTATAATCTTCATTCGCATGTTGAGGTCTTAGTAAGATGTTCTCTTAGACTATTGTGGGAGCTTGCAGGCGTCAATAGTGATCGGCTTAACTTAATCGTCTTAAACAGGACGAGTGATGATTCTCCGCCGCGACAGCATCACCACTGATGATTCATAAGACACATAGGAAGAATTAATGATTAATAGAAATCAGTCTGGCTGGCTAGGACACATTGATACATCCACAAAGGACACGGGAAAGGACACAGATAACCCAGATATGGAAGATGTCCAAGAATCTTACATTGTCTAAAAGCAAGATTTTTTGCGTATCCTAAATGAGGCTTCATAGCACTACTACCATCTGCCATAGCCTCCGCCACCATAGCCTCCCCCGTAGCCTCCTCCGTAGCCTCCTCCGTAGCCTCCTCCGTAGCCTCCCCCGTAGCCTCCTCCGTAGCCTCCCCCGTAGCCTCCTCCGTAACTTCGCCCGTAGCCTCGTCTACGGCCGCCGTATTTCTTGTGTTTCTTCCTATATTTCTTAAGTTTCTTCCAAATGGGATTTGGGTCGGCGATGGGGTCAGCGCTGACGCAGGTGAACACCGCCGTCAGCACCAGCAGGAGCACCACCACCACGCTCGCCTGACGAAGGAGAGGAACGCAAGGAATAATATAACACTTCCACGTAAACATGAGCCGTGTTCGGCACCATCACAGCAAAATCTTAAACACACTAAGAGCAAAATTCATCTTCCAGAGCTCCAGGCAAGCAGAAGCCTCGCTCCAAACTATAACCTCACACCAAAGACGGTTTCTATACGATGCAAATACTCACGAGTTTCATTATTGATAGAAATAAAAGACTGAACTAGAAACAAAAAAGTAGCTTCGTTAACACCGGATGGCGACGCAAGCTGAACTGTGTAGTGTCGTGTTGTTTGTGTCGTATTTATACCGTGAGCCAGTGATGGGTGTGTCACACCAGCGCGTCAACAGTGTGGCACCAGCACTCGTTCACAGGGGAGAGTATCGACCTTACACGAGGTGTGACTGCTGCTGCGGGAGATGGTAAATGATATCAAGATCCGTGGAGGCCAGGCGCGACGATCATGTGAAGCAGGCGACCGTCAACTCACCTGCTCCACGGACTCACCACTCGACGAAAGTTGCTGTTGATTTACGGTTTGTTAACACATAAACATCCACACACGCACGCATGCGCGCGCACACACACACTAGTAAACTAGGTCCTCGCAGTCGAGCGGACCACGCTCGGGAGTAGTAATCCAAAGGGGTCCAGAACCGATCTGCCGAACGAAACAGAAGTAAATCGGCAGAATTTATTTCACTTGATGCTCCTGTTTACCTAGGGTAACAGACAGGCGGCAGTAAACTACAGGTCAGTGCCCTTAACTTGCATACTATGCAAGGTGCTGGAGAAAACTGTGAGAAAAAAGCATCACCAACTCAGGTTACAGGATAGTAAATCTTGCGTCAAAGGTTTATTAAAATTCTTTGACCAGGCTACAAACAATAGACACGAAAGAGAAGGTGGGCAGACTGCATATTTTTGGATTGTCAAAAGACTTTTGACTCAGTATCCCATGAGTGACTTGTATATAAGTTGCAAAAGCAGGTAAGAGCGACAGAGAATTAAGGTGAGTGAGGCGTGAGGTCTCAGAGTGGCGAGATGTCACTCGGTTCACTTAGTTTTCGGACCTATCCTGTTTCTTTTATATGTAAATTATCTTTCGAAAGTAATGGACTCACTCCTCTCACTGTTTGGTGATGCAAAAATTATGATAAGGAGGAGTAAGACAGAGGAGGACAGTAAGAGAAGAAATGAAGAGTTGGACAAAATGTATGAATGGTACGACAAATGGCTACTAGAATTTAATTATAGTAAATGTAAAGTAATGAAGCGAGATGTAGGGAGCAGCAGTCGAGATACAAGATCCAAACGTAAGATGAAATCCATCATGAAACGAGCAGAAAGATACAATTAAGGGTTAATGTCTCATTGACCCTGTCTCTTGAATACCTTATCAATAGGATGCCATCTGTGGCATATGCCAGGTTTGCATTCAGAACTGCCTTTAGAAATTACCTGGGAGTTAGACAGCTGGTATGGGCTGCTTCCTGGGGGTGTGTAACAAAGAAGGAGACCTGGTCGAGGACAGGGCCGCGGGGATGCTAAGCCCCGAAATCATTTCAAGATAGCCTCGAAAAGAATGAGGTTTAAGGGCGCTTTACACTGCCTACGTGAGACAAGTCTTAGAGTATGCCACCCCCCATCATGGAGTTCCCACCTGAAGAAATACATAAGAAAACTGGAAAAGGTTCAGAAGTTTGCGACGAGGCTCGTCCTAGAGTTACGAGGGATGGGGTATGAAGAGTGACTGAAGGAACTGAACCTGACGACACTAGGAAAAGGAGGGAGAGGGGCAATGTTAGAAACATATAAAATACTTAGATTAACAGATTGGAAAGATGGGTAGAGTTGCGGGATCCACGAGTCAATGCTCGATTCTGCAGGCACAATAGGTGAGTACACATACACACCCTCACGTGCACACACACACACACACACACACACACACACACACACACACACACACACACACACACACACACACATATGTTGCCTCGCGGCTAAGTGGACAGCGCTCTGGGGTCGTAGTCCTAAGGGCCTAGATTTGATCCCCGGCAGAGGCAGAAATAAAGTGGCGGAGTTTCTTTCACCCTGATGCCTCTATTCACCTAGCAGTAAGTTGGTACCAGGTAGTTAGACAGCTGCTACGGGTCGCTTCCTTGAGATATGTATGTGTGTGTGTGTGTGTGTGTGTGTGTGTGTGTGTGTGTGTGTGTGTGTGTGTGTGTGTGTGTGTGTGCGTGTGTGTGTGTGTGTGTATTGGTATGTGTATGTGTGTGTGTGAAATATGATGTAGAAGACATATTAGAGGAAAAATAACATTGGTTAGAAAGGCGAGGTTCAGGCGCTAATAGCTCGATTCTACAGATACAGATAGTAAATACAGGAGCTATAAGGTGCACGTCACACTGAAGCACCAACGAGGTGACACAACTCATCCCTTTCACCACCAACCAACGCTCAAGGTAACGTAAATATAGACGGACCAGTGGCCAGGCGTCGATAATGTGCGTCGTAAACCGTCACAGTGACGTCATCACACCCTGAGAACTATGAGAGGTCGTCACACTGACGTACCTCAACATTAGAACTATGTGACGGCGTCAAAGTGACGTACTACCACCTTAGAAGAGTGCTGAGGGCAACAGTGACATAACCCCCCATATTTCAGCACTGAAACATGAAGGACATACATAAATTTTAATTAAAAACAACCGAAGTAGGCCTATTGGTTTATGTCTGCAACTCTTATCTTCTTCCCCTCCTCCTCCTCCCCTCTCTCCTCTTCCCCCTCTCCCCAGCATCCCTCTCTTTCCCTCTTCCATGTTCATCATCTTAGAACGCCCCTCTATCTTCTCTTCGTAACATATCCATCCTCTCCTCGTCTAATTCCCCTCTACTTGCCTCTCTCTCTCACCCTCTGTCTCAATCGCTCTCTTCCTTCCCCCTTAACTCCCCCCCCCCTCTGCTCCACTTATCCCTCTGTACCTTTCCCACCCTCTCCACATTTATGCCCAACATCCTTCCCTCTCATAATCCACCAGTATCCTTCCCTCTTTCCCAGCTCTCAGCCTCCCCTGCTCTCTGTCTCTGTCTGTCTCTCTCTCTCTCTCTCTCTCTCTCTCTCTCTCTCTCTCTCTCTCTCTCTCTCTCTCTCTCTCTCTCTCTCTCTCTCTCTCTCTCTTTCTCTGTCTCTGTAAGGCAACACAATACCAGCAACAAACACTGTAACCACAACGTTATTTTTAACATAATTACTTTGATGCAACATTGTAACAACGTTGTTAAACAACAATGTTGCAACGTTGCGTGCATGTCGGGGTATTATGAATATTATGATTTTTTTGTATTAACACATTTAGGTACATCTGCCGCTACTCTAGACTATATGAAGGGGCTACAGAGAGTGTCAAGAACTACCTACGTGATGCTGAAAATCCTCATCACACAGGAGGATTATAGTCCTAAACCGTCTTTTTTTTATTAATACATTAGGTACATCTGCATTAGTGCAGCTACCCAAGACTATATGAAGTGGAGTAAAGTGTGTCAAAAAAGCAAACTACGTGATGCTATAAAATCCCCATCACACAGGATGGTTAGTCATGCAGAGGCATATGATAGGCAATCTGCACTGGCAGACTCCGGAAGCATTTTGAGGATATCATCAACACAAGATTGAATAAGGTAGCAGTGGTAATAAAAGTCCCCAATCTCGCAGGATGGTTAGTCATACAGGGCCATATGTTTAGTAGCCTGCACTGGCAAATTTTGGGTATACTGTGAGGATATCTTCAAGAATACGAGAGTGAATAAAGTAATTGCAAAACTCCAGGTACCTCATGCCAACTGGTCTGAAAGGTCTAATAACTGGGCCTACACCGTCACATGAAACTATGTTAAAAAAATCTCTGGAAGCCAAAAACCCTAGTTTAGAATTCTTTCAAGTTGCTGGGATTTTAAGCATGAGATGATCCTTCTTAAAGAGGGTCATTGGAGATCGAACCCCTAACCCCAAATGACCCTCCCGATACAATCATAAATAACCATGAGAGGCTAGCCCTAAGCGTTAGGCCTCCATCCAATTTACAGACACACACAGACAAAAATTATGATATATAGATATGGATGTTTTCTGAGATATAAACGAATCGTTTTTGCGATTACCGATACAAGATTTTTCCCTACAATAAACGATATGCTAATTGAATTATCGTTAGATGCAAGTGCTCAGTCTCCATTCTTAAAAGCCAGCGCCACATTTGCAACCCTCCACGACTCCGGTACACTGCACGACTTTAATGATTTATTATATATGCAAGACAAGGGGTCAAAAAGATTTGTTTTTAACATTAATGTTCATATTTATGATCATTTCTGTCATTTTTCTCCTGTCAATCCCTCCGCGGTTCATTTGTGAACCCTTGACGGCACACTCGTTGAATAACGGTGCATTAGGGTTCGAAACCCAGTAATTATTGCTCTCAGATCCTTCACAAAATTTTATTTTTAATTTTACTGCTGCTTTGTTGAGATCTGGTCCCTGTTTTTTTTCTTAGCTAAATCCTACACCTGTCACTACTGAAATACTTTACTTTGTTCCTAAGTATGTTAATACAAAAATATAAAGTGTCAGTTTCAATCCAGTTTTAAAATCCAATTTCTGCCCTATAATGTATCAGCTTCTACATCTGATATTAATTCCCGCCCAGTTAGTTTCATCTGTAAATATACTAAAGATGCTGTTTACTCCTGCATCTAAACAATTTATGTAAATAATGAGCAACAGGAGGATGAGGAGCCAGGAGAGTGTACTGGAACACCAAACTTGTGACTGTTGACTGTTCACCACACTGACTGTTCTCCACTTATGATGACTGTCACTCCATTGCTCCTGACAAAGTCCAGGGGGCGGGGTCCCCCTCTTTCTTCTTTATCAGTCTCTCGTGTGCAACAGGACCAAAGGTATTATTCAGATCCTGGTGTATCATGTTATAGACATTATCGTTGCTCGCTGCTTCTAATTCCTCTGGAAACAGAGCTAGTAAATTTGTCCAACATGCTCATTCTTTGGTGTGCATGTTGGGAGTCTTTTACGAATCAATGTTTTACAAGATGAGGTCAAATGCAGTGAGGGTAAGAATGCAGAGATAACGAATGGAACAGTGAGAACGAATGTAGTGGAAGTATATCATGCATTGCTGTTTTATCTTATGTCATGATCATAGCCTAAAATATTCAAAGAAAGATAAATATATAATATTGTAAATAAAAGGTGAAAACGTATTAACATGTAATTTAAAAATCT